TCCGTGCTACTTTGCATATCTCCATATTTCTTACTGTCTTACAAGAAGATTCTCATAAATGTTCAAATCTATCGATTCGAGATTGAGGATTTCGACTGAATGACGTTTCTCTTGCCATTCATCAAGTATATTGTACATCGATCAACAATCGATACCAACAGAAATCAGAATATTTTATTGATGAAGTCATATGTTAGTGGAAAACATTCTAAGTTCGATCTACTTCACTACGACACAACAAAACATAAGACTCAATATCAAATGGCCATTTTTCAACTTGTTTTATGGGTGAAAAACATAATTAGATTAACTCATGATGTAAAAATCAGTCATTGATTAAGGAATATTCATTAAATAAAATCATCTTACTAGGAAATTTGATGAGTAAAATATCATATCTCTTTATAACCAAGATGATTCTGAATAGAGAAGAAAAGAAAATAATGCAAAACTCTGTTTCATCTGACAAAACAGAGGGCAAATTTGAAGAATACGATCAATTAATTCGACACACAGATTGTGAAAGTCAACCATGTTTTCAAAACTTTGACACATTTTCTTTCCATAACACCTTTCCTTTCTTACATAACAGCAAAGAGGTGAGCATCTTATTTACGTTTTTATCAATATACCAGATAAATAATAAGTATTCTGTCGACATTTATATGGATCATTGAAAAACTTCTTTGAACTTTTTCATGATTCTTGTAGAGTTTAAAAGACAACACTTTAATTATATTTCATATTCGTTCACAAAGAAAGAACAGATCAGTTTTTCAAAACTCAAAATCTTAGTAAATATTCATTAAACATACATCATATGCAAAAAAATATAGTTCATTTTAAACAGCTATGAATATGAATGCGATGGGATAGATACTAATCTCATCATGCACAGAAAATAAGAAGCTGCCACAAATAAATGATTATTCTTTCGGCTTGTATATATAATGGCTGCTGTGTCTTGCTTTATTAAGATGAAGTTTGATTTTGAATGAGCGTTTTCAGAGGAATTAGATTTTTTATAATAAATTTTGTTTAATCAAATAGGTGTTCTTTGTTCTTTGATTCGATAATGAATTATTATTGCCACGGGGTCCACACGATGTCGACATCGGCCAAAGATTCGTTTTTTGCACTCTTTGGTTGTTGCTACATAGGCAAAGGGTACGATAATATAAATGAGATAGGGCGTATAGAAAAGCCAGACAAGTGAGATATCGATAAGAAAATCAGCCGGACCAAACAGGCGCACAAGAGAAAATATAGCTAGAGGAAATTGTGTGAAGAAATAAACAAGAATAATAGGAAACAATTGAACAAGCAATTTTCTAGTCTTGCACCAACTCAATAATCTATTGTCAAAAGTAGAAAAACGTCGACGTTTTTGGAAGATGATTCTTCCTAGAAGAAGGCCGTTAAACGCAACAATTAATAGTGTCGGAAGGAGTACAATAAGAATCCAATCGGCAGTAACTATTCCAATGTTACTATTAAAGCATGGTCCACCACAAAGGAATTGAGTACCATCAAACCAATTTTTACTGCACGAGTGAGTGAACGCAAGAGTGACATACCAACCAACAACAAAAGCACATACAATCAAAATTGGAACGTCATGTCTGAGAAATGTATTTCGATGTCGAGAAAAAAAGATAAGAAGATACCGATCAATAGATGCCCATGCCATAAGCCAGCTTGATATACCTTGCAATAAGTAATTTCCTGTAACCCAATAGTGACAGATTGATAGACTAAAAACATGACCGGTATGGAAGTAGTTGAGTGAGATGGGAACAAGATCGCACATAAGCTCGACAAAATCTATCACAATAATAAAGATCATAACGTGATTAGAACGACGACGCAGATTACGTTCACGAATAACACACATTATGATGTAGACCGAGCATATAAGCGATGGTCCCAATGGAATCGAGAACAGAATCAACTTGATGACACGCGTGAGAGACGTTTCAAGACTGGCCTGCAACGATAATGTATAGTTCGACATACTCTCTTTTCCAGTGAGATGCTGTAGAACACGAAATACACCAAACCTGCAATAAAAAAACCAATAAGTCTTATATACAATTCCTTATTACTTAAGCAGACAAGAACTTCTAAAAGTTCGTTTAAATGTCCTAATCGTGATCTAAGTTTTAGCTTTTTTTCCAGTTGCATTATAAAAATTGCGTAGATACACTTCAAAAGAGTCATGTTTACATATAGAAAATGTCCAAAAAAAGTTTTCTCGCTAAACTTTTGATATACGTCAGGCTGAAAAAGTCAGTTTTATTTGTAAAAAAAAACCACGTCAAAATATTCTGGAAAATACAACTGAAAGCATGGCTGTTTCTCATAGATAAATCAATACAATTTCATTCGTCTACCATTATAAAACCTATTTTATTAAGTAAATGCATACGATATGTGGAAAATAAGTCATATATTTTGAAAGGAAACGTCAAGACACTGTCGCATTTGCATTTTGTATACCGCAGGCTAAGTAATAATCGATTACCTTGTAGGTTTTATAAATGAATAGAGTTTCTAATCCTATTTGATAATAGAACGATAAAATTTTCTAACGAAAAAAACAAAACTGAGCATACAACAATAAGACATATAATCTACAGTTATCATTCAGAAAATGATGAGGAATTGCTTATCAGCTTTTACTTTTTGCAGACGACTTTATAATTAGATCTAAGCAGTGAGAATTCATGACTCGGATGCCATCTGCCTTTATTTTAAATTTTTACACAGCATTCTGATAGTCATATAAGATATAGCAAACTAATTATTGATAGTAGTTTTTACAGTTAACTAGCAACTTTTTACCGTCGTACTGCGTAGGCCGACTTCTGATAATGGCTTGCCGGATGTCATTCAGCATATCGTGAGATGTAGAATTCAACAAATCTAATACGTTCTATGTTAGAATAATACAGAGTTGAACTCTTCAATTGCTTTACTTACTATCGAATATAACTTAGAAAAATCTAAACCTTCCTATTTTAGTTGTTTTCTCAAGAAATAAATCTATTGCAAACATTTCGTGTGATACTAGAGGAGACAGCTTATTAGATAAGACATTTCGGACTCATATATAGGCTGAAATCAGTATGTTCTACAGAACTTTTTCGTTTAGTTTTCAAATGCCACAGATTATGATGAAAAAATATTTCTTTCAAAATAATCAGTTCTCAAAGTATCTCATGATGATCTCATACATCATAAGATTGATAAGATGAGTTAAAGGGCAGACTTCAAAGGCTTTCACATGAAATTACTCTGACATTTCAATCATTATTTATTATTGGTGGATAATTACAATCTGTAATCATTTAAGCCAATTTAACTAAGAATTTTTCTTTTTAAGACTATTTTTATATGAAAAATAAAGTTAGATATGCCTACTTCAATCTTCTCTGTATGCTTTTCATTGTTGTGAAACAATATCTTCTACTCTTGCTCTATTACAATAAATGCATGAATAACGCAGAGACAAGAACATTTTGCACTAAAAACAAGTAACTCATATAAGTAAATATAGTATTGTTTCGATTTTCAAAGAAATGAATTTCCCTCACGAAAAATCAAAATTTGAAAATTCGATAATAAGCAAACCACAAAAGAAGAAACTTCTAATTATTTGCAGAAAATCTAATCATTCAACAAGACATAAAATTCACAAAAATTTCATACCAAGTATCGGCTATATTTCAGCAAATACTATAATACTATCTATTTAACAATCAAAAAGAAGAATAAATTCCAGTAAATAAAGAAATTACTATTTTTATCGCACATAAATTTCAATGTACTTTTATATTTGTACCACAATCCTACTGTTTATAATATAATCGATTTTAGAAATAAATCTAAGTAATTTTACAAATTACTTACACTTTAAATGGTAACATTTTCTTCTCAATAGTAAAGTGCATTGGCATATAAAAGAGAACAAAAAAAAATTTATTGCTGTAGTTACTGATGTTTCCTGTTAATTTATAAAATTATTGACGTTTTCGAAGGTAAGACTTTCTTTTTAATATCAAAATATAGAGATATCTATATTGAATAAATTTAAAAATTTCTGTATTTCTTGAATTTTCCGAATTAATCTCGAAATTTCTTTGTAATTTCTAAAATTAACATCATTTTACAAGGTAAGATCTTCTTTTTGATAATGAAATTCAGTAATATTTCATTGAATAAAAAGTAATTTCAGTATTCACTGAAATGCCATTGTTGGGGTATAGATGTGGGTGGGTGTGGGTGTTGGTGGGTGTGAGTGTAGGTGTGGGTGGGTGTGAGTGTGGGTGTAGATGTTCGTCTTCTGTTCATGTACACCCACACCCATCCCACATCCACACCCCATACTGACACCCACACCCACACCCATGCAATGAATTGTCCTGCAACGAATTGTCTTGCAACGATTTGTCCATGCAACGAATTGTTCGCAACGAATTGTCCTAGCGCCTTGTTGCCTCTCATTCAACTTTACTTTCTGTTACTATCAACTGTCTTATTTCGGCTTCAAATAAGCAGCTATGATAAATTTTGACCTGGCTTAAGGGTCTCATCAGATGCATTATTCAAATTAATCATCATAAAATGACGGCGAAACTGCAAATCTATCCCTAAAATTAGAGGAGATACAGTGTTAAAATGTATGACTACATTAAGAACATAGCAACTGATGAGTTTTTTAAGCAGAGACGAAATCGGTTATGACTACTTATTCTTGATGTATTCATACATTTTAACACTGTATTTTCTCTAATTTATATGGATAGATTTGCAGCTTCGTCGTCATTTTATAATGATGAATTTGAATAATGCCATTTGATAAAACCCTAAAGCAATATCGGAACCGGTCTTGGCTGCTTATTCTTGAAAATTGAAAGGATTTATTTGAAAATAAGAAATCACTTTGAAAAAGTTACAGAAAAAATTCAAAAGTCTTGATTAATATTCATTTAGAATAACTAAGGTAAAATTTTAGGACTCGCTGCAACTTTTGATGTAGCTTGGATAAATGGTGCGTCATGACTACTTCTTTGGCAACAGTAATGAGTGCCACAACATATAGGATATTCTGACGGGCAACATTTATCTTGATAAGGTGCCGGACAACAGACTGGGTGTGTAGAAGGACAACAGCCGTGTTTATTAGGATCAGCCTTTGGACAACAAACTGAATCAGGAAATAGAGCTGAGCAACAGTTACCAGATGAACATGCACCCTTCCATGCGTCGTATGAATCACATTCAGCAGCACATGAATTATATGCTGCCCATGCTTTGTAACCTTGTTTACTAAGACTAAGAACAGTTTTAGCACATTGTGTATTTGAAGCATCATTTGTTAATGCTTGTGAACAACTAATATTACATCCACAGGAACATGTCCGAAGTGTTGAATTACGTCGACATTTTTCATATGTTCTTGGACAACAACAATCATTTTGTTGTCCTGATGCACTACACCATAGATAACTGTTAACTTGAAATAGACCATTATCTGTACTACCATCTTTATTCGTCTTTGGACCATTACGTGTACCCCAAGTACTTTCATAATAGGCTATTGCAGTCATAATATTTACTTGACTACCAACAAAACCAGCATTACGAAGTGTAGCAACAGTTCGGCAACAATTCGGATTGCTTCCACATTGTGGAATTGATCCAATTGATGAAGAAACAATAATTAAAAGTAATACTGTCCTAACTGGAATATTTAAATTAGCCAACATTTTCATATCACACACGGTCTAATTATTGTATATAATGTAATTGTGTTAATAATATAAATCGGTGAAAACTAGAAATTAAAAATAAATGTTACAATCATTGTAGAGGCAATTGAAAGTAAAAATGTTTCTTTATTATCGAATTCAATAGCACGAATATTCGAACTGAATACAATCTTTTCATAAAGGAATCTGTTCAAGTTAATTTCTATAATTCAGTATTTCACGGCAATAATATAATACAGTTTTTACTTCATTTAGTCGAAAAATGATATTCAAAAATTTATAACTCTCTATGTTTCTTACAAACAAATGTGTTCTTACCTGGATTGAAGACTTAATATTTTGATCCTACAAATCTCTTCTATATATAGTTCGTAAAACGGAACTAAATTATGTTTCGTTCGTTATATGAAATTACTCTTTCTGTATTCACTCGCTTTATCGGCAGTTACACATTTTCTTCGCAGTTGTGTTCTTTTTGATTCAAAGATATTTTTTTACATTTATTCAGATTATTAGTAATACATCTGATGTCAATATCAATCAAAGGAGGAAAAAGCCAAACAGTCTGGCATCCCACTCCGCCTCTTTTTCCTCCTTTTCCTCTTTTCTTTTAAAATTCCTCTTTTTAGCCTCTTTTTTCAGAAACATCCTCATTTTCCTCTTTTCTCACGAAAAAGTAGCTTGTTGGCGAAAACATCCATGAATATATTGATTAATGTTACTATATCATACAAAGAGATCACATAACACAAACTGATGTGTCGATCGGTCGAGGTGTATAGCTAAGGAGGCTAAATTATATGATTTTAGTGATCAACTCAGCGATGCTATATATCTCTAATTGGGACCCGATTTTTATAGCTCTCTAGTGGAGGTAAAATCACTCAATTATATTTCCAACGTGAACTCATCATTCTCTCAATCGTGGCAAGTTTTTCTGGTTAAGATCGACATGTAAAATGATAATATCGAGCTTACTTTTCTTGATCATTTTTCTCAGCCTTAGGGAAGCTTGTGATGTGAATCTAACAATGGTTAGCTAACTCGTAGCGTAATGCATGCGTCAAAATGAGAAGTTTCCAGAGTGGCTAGACCTATCCTAGAATCCTGTCAGATTCGATAGGATTTCTTCGACAAGATAGCTTCTGATAGTATGATGTCATAAGTTGAAGATTTCTGCTTATCAGATACCGACAAAAAATTTCATGTTGTATCCGGCAATATCTGATCCTTCAAAATCACTGGGTTGATTAAAGATGCCGTGGTATGTTGCTAGATTACCTTACGCGATTGATTTACTGTCAAAATGAAGTAAACCCTCTCTTTCCGAGTTTCTCCGTATACAATCACATTTTGGACGATCGTATATCTCTAAATCGTACACGGAGAAATATAATCGTATACGAAGAAATACAGAGTAAAATGAAAGCCATTGACGAGCTTTGTTTGTCCATAAACGATCGTATTCTGCGCATACGATCACGGAATTATACGATCGCAATACTGGGCGATGTGAGAGGCCGTATGTCTCCGATTACAAGCGTGTTTGCTTGACATGGGTTAATATTGACAACGGTTTAATGATGCTTGGATGAAATCGGATATGATGGAACGCAATAGCAACAAACAGGGGCGTCCCACTGACCAAAAAGTAGGGGATCATACAATCTACTCAATACAAATAAGTCGTTTTCTACAGAACACAGGAAGGTGACCAGATTTCACTGGAAAAGATCAAGGGTTTTTGATACCACGAGGTCAAACGATTCCTCACAAACCCACTGTCTGGGCACCATTGCAACCAATGTATTAATTTACGCTGGAAAACGAAAAAGTGAAACTGACTTGCGAAAAATGATCAAAATCATGGAAGAATTGCTGAAAGTTGAAAAAAAAGAAAAAATACCTTTCGCACATGCACAGTCATCCGAAAAAAGGAACAGAAAGCAAAAAAAACATTTAATGAATTCTGATCGTCTCTATTTTTGTGTGTCTACTTACTCAGAGACAGTAATATTATAGTCAGATACTACGTAAATAGAATAGACTATTTTTCTAATGTTTTCCCGTTTTCCAATGCATACATAAGGAATTGCACAAAAACCTCTGTGAAAAATTGGAAGCTTCGTTTCTCTTTTACTCTTTCAAGTCATATTCAACCTATATTAATAACGTACGAGTTTTGTCGGATTTATAACACTATTGTGCCAATGGGTTTTAGTTTTCTTCAGACGAAACTGTATGGGGTGTGGGTGTGAGGTGTGGGTGTGGATAGAGAGCAGATCCACACCCACACTCACACCCACACCCATACCCCACACCCACCCACACCCACACCCACACCCACGTACCCACACTCCCACACCCACCCACACCCACACTCCACACTCACACCCACACCCTAACTCGTGATATTTTTTTTATGTTTTTGCTGTATTTCATGATATTATGAGCATATCTGTAAGTTGTTTTTTTTTATAATAAATAATTCGAACAGCTATTGCAAAAAGTGTCTTGTTTCATTCAGCGAAAAACTCAATTATGAGTTTATAAGTTTTCCCACCCCCCCCCCCCCCCCCCCCCCCCCTTCCCCCCCCCCGCCCCCCCCAAAAAAAAACAAAATATATTTTTTTTTTTTTTTTTAAAAAAAAAACACACACCCCCCACAAAAAAAAATTTTTTTTTTTTTGCAAAAAAAAAAAAAATTTTTTTTTTTTGTACCCCCCCCCCCCCCCCCCCCCCCAATCTTTGGATATTCGGACACTCCCGAAAAAGGGATTATATCATCTTGATTATTTGATATGAAAAATATCACACATCTAAGTAAAAGGTAGACATTGGTGGATTAGACAAGAAAATTTAACGATAAACAATAAGATATTCTGCATAAGCTTGATCATCACGGTATGTAACAAAGATATGATCTCCATCTGTAGTCGAATCGAAGCCTGCAGGCGGCGTTTTCATTGAATGATTTCCTTGAGTAGTATTACCCACTATTACATTGACTACAAACATAGATCGTTCACCGTTTGATTGATTAGGCTTAGCGTAGCGATGACTGTAGCCTGCATTTGCTGAAAAATATGCTCCTTGTCCATATACGACACCTAAAATACTTGATATTTTACAAAAAGATTATCAAGTAAATCGAACGAACCATTGACTCCAGCAAATGATCGATTGAAAAATGAGTTAATAATGAGATTAACTGATTCTTGTAGACAGCCATGAAATAATTTTTTTTCTGTGTCTTCCTTTGAAGAGAAACTTTTATATGAATTGTATTGTGTGTACCATTGTTTATTTTGAATACGTTCTATACGAATTATTGTTGTATATTTCTGAGCCATCGTTTTATCGAATAATGCACGAACATCTTTGTATTCATCTAAAGTATCATTTAAGGAAAATCGCTCAACATTCTTTATTTGTAATTCCCAATATGATGGTACACGAACATCACCATGTCGAATAATTTCACGTTGTTGTTGAGTATTCACACATGTTTCAATATAGTTTTTAAAATCAATTTCATATTCTATAGATTTATCATTGGTGTACTTAAACTACAAAAATAAATGATTTATTGTATTCAGAATTCTCAAAAGAAAATTAATTATGACCATTAGAAATCGTGGCACTTGTTCCTTTTTATTCTTATTAGATATACATATATTTATACATTTCATCTTAGAACGATAAAGAAGTGAGAACAAGCACATTGTCATCGAGATAGTGATGTGCCATTAAAATACCTTTATTTCTGCAGCTCAACTTGAGAATTGAGTATAATATTCATAAATCGATTTTCTCGAAAACAATGCAATAACGATAGTTTCAAGTGGAAAAGTGATTTAACAGCTAAGAGCATACCATACTACATCGATCGTGTATAGGAAATAATCAGAGAAGAAAATTGCTCAGATGAATCTTATGAAATGTATCTATATTATATTAGTATCAATACAGCTATTAGAAAACTTAATAAATAATAAAAATAATTTTAAAACTTATTTCATGAATGATCTTGATAGAGAAAAAAAAGTAGTTCTATACGAAATAGATATTTTTTTAGGTTCAAGCAAATCTTGGCAAGTTTTTAAGACTTATATTAGTTAATTCATATTTCAAAATGAGTTTTCATACAGGATGTATGTCAGGTGTAAGCATACACCGTACTTCTATTAGCAGTATATCGCATTAATACATACCCCTTTCAATTTTGATATAAATGCATCTTCAATATGAGCATTTAATTCAGAGGAAAATTTCTCCCAATTGTTGTCATCTTTTTTAAATGCCCAAATTACATCTCGAGCAACGATCATTAAACGAGCATGTTCACTTTGTTTAGTTTGCTGTCGATAATATTCATTTTCTGCTTCTCTGACTGATTCTTTTGAACCAAATAATTTACAATAACCAGTATGAATATCCATTTCTGGTACGACAAGTCGTTGAAAACAATATATATAAAATGAATCAATAGTAGGTTGCGTCCATTTTTTTAGTCCACTTAGACCATGTTGTTCACTCACTGAAATTGATTTCTGTACATAATCTTTTAAAGCCTTCCTACATTTTTCTTGTTTCTCTATAATATTAGATATAATAGTGATTGTCAGTGCTAGAATAAGGATATAATGAAATGAAGAACATTTTATGTAATTTTTTTTTACTTGTAAAATTATATGTAATATGATTATCGTTTCTTGTTGAATGCTCTCCTTTTTGAAGACTTTCTAGTTTGGCTTGAAATATTTCATAAACATCATTTTGATCAGGTAAAATAATAAAATTTATTTGTAATAAAACATTAGCCGATAATAATTGTCTTTGAGCTTCAGTTAACATTTCATGAGCAACAATGTTTTTATCAAAATTATATTTTCCACAACCAATTGCTGGAAATGCAATTGATGTATGATGAAACTTAATGGCATGTTGAATAGCTGTATTAACAAAATTTCGAATCGATTGATAAAATGCTTCTTGACTAGTTTGATTAATTTGCCATGTTAAAAATAAAAGTCTTCGACATTGTAATTTTCCTGAATCGATTTCAAAAAGTTCCGATGATGAACTCTTTTTAGCTGTAGTATACTCATTTTGTACAGATTCTCCAGCTTTTCGAAGTATATCAATGCGTAGATATTCCGATGTCGAGGAGACAACAACAAGATCGACCTGAAGAAAATTATTCACTAATTTGCTTAAAATTTACAGAATCTATACTTTCTCTTCAACTAGATTTCTCTTGTGTACTGTAATAGCTGCTGCTGTTAATTTATTCGAAACATCTTGTGTTAAGGCTTTGGGTATTTTATAAGTCTTGTTAATAGTTTCTTCATGTATTTCGATTTGAGATCTATATTGGTGGGCAATATTTTTCAGATTAGTATATTCGTTAAGTGCTATTAAACTGAAAGCTTCCTCTTGAATTTCATAATTAATTGGTGTACATAATGTAGCTAATGACATTATTTCTTCTTCGATTCTATTATGGAGATAGCTTGGAGCTGTAAATTCTCCTTTTTTCAAAGGTTCAATAATGTTTGCATCATTAAAATTAGTTTCAAGTGCTTTCATTTCGTTATAATAGACATCTAGTAGAAATTCTATCTATATATAAACAAAATATTTTTATAAATTTTTTAATAAAAAAATACATGTATATCTATTTTTACCTGTTTCAATTCTAAACTAAGTTTAAATGTAGTTGATGTACATTCTTGTTTTATTTTTTTAATTTTTTTTTCTACGTCTTTGACTATATCAACTAAACCATACAAATGAATATATCGTTGTTTAAGAATCATTACAATATTCTGAGATTGTATTTGATCTTCTAGTTTAAGAATTTCTTGTACTAAATTACTTTTATTAGTTGTTGTTAAATCAGGTATGGATGGTAGAGAAATATCAAGGTATGTGAATTTCTTAATAAATTTATCAAGACTAGCATAACTAATACATAAATTATGTAGTTTAGTTGATTTGTATTTATTAAAATAAATTATTAGTACACCTATTGTTTCATGACTGCATAGAATATGAAGATCTTCATACTCTTCACTATGTATTTGAATAAGTCGAGCACAATCTTGATGTTTTCCTGAAAATCCTGTATCAGAATAAAACTTGTTATTAATATTTAATGCTTAAGAAATTCTTTTCAGAAATTAAAAGCAAGAGTAAAACTTCTTCTTGCAAATTTAAATTCATATACTTAGAGGTATCCAAAAGTAATGGCGGAGGTACTTTATTTTCGTATAGAAGGCTTGACGAAATTTTCTTTTTTTTTTTGATGAAGTGATAGAGAAAATAAAGCTCTATTTTTCTGTACTATTTCATCCCTATTCAGCTGGCACTATAATAATAAAATTTTGATAGAAAGTGTTTTTATTGAAAAGTTATCTAACAGATATGGCAGGTTAAATGATTAGGTTTTACATTTTCAATTTTTAATCATTTAATACGTTGTGTTAAAAACAAAATATACTACAAGATGCAACATGAAAAGCCCTACAATCTATATAAGACTGCTTATTTTAATTGCGTAATTATCGTTTTCAAAAAAAAAAGCAAAATTCTATGCAACTGCTCCGAAAAAATCGTTTTTTTTTCTCTATATGAAGAGAGATTCCTTTTTTTCTTATCTCATATATAAAATAAACTATTCTTTATAAATTGTAGAGCTTTTCACGCTGTATCTTATGGTATATTTTGTTTTTAATACAACGTATTAAGTGATTGAAAACTGAAATGCAAAACCTAGTCATTTAATCTGCCTTATCCATTAGATAACTTTGCAACAGAAACACTTTCTATCGAAATTTTATTATTATAGTGCCAGCTGAATAGAGATGATATAGCACAGAAAAATAGAGTTTCATTTTCTCTATCACTTCATAAAAAAAAAAAGAAAATTTCGTCAAGCCTTCTATACGAAAATAAAGTACCTCCGCTACTGCTTTTGGATACCTCTAAGTATATATATATATATACGCGGGAAAAAAATAATTGCAGTCCGTATTTCGAATATATTATCACTCGAAAAATACATTTTTTTAAAAACTAATTACATATTCTGGAAGCGGGTAAAGTTTTCTATCACTGTATATATTTATGTTTTAGTTTGCACTTATTTACTAGAAAATATCTCGACTTCAAAGGTAATAATAAACGTGGAATAAAAAAAGACGATAACATAGGAAAATCCAGTTTGATAGCCTTGTCAAGAAAGCTTTCTACATATTATCCGAAGTATTTTTCAGCGCATAAATGTATAACGAAACAAAAATATACCGAATGATAGAGAATTTCAAGCTCTATTAGAATGTATAACCGTTTTCCTGAAAGTTATTTTTACACCTAACAAATGCAAAATACTAGACAAATATATAGAAAGATACAGAATTTCAAACTCTATCAGAATATATAACTACTTTTTTAGAGAGGTATTTTCATAGTAATAAAATATTCATAAGACTAATGGTGATAATAGTGACAAAATTCAATTCTTATAAATCTGGTGATGAGGATGTGTTGTACGTCAGCAATAGTATATTCGAAATATGGACTGCCATTATTTTTTTCCTCTGCCTGTATATATTACATAGACAAAAATTTATTCTCGCTTTTTTTACAACTGAAAATTTGATTCAATAGAATATTTTTCAAACAAACTTTGAGAATAATTTGATTACCTGAATGATTTTCGACCAATTTCATGTCGATTGCTTCAAGGAGAGCTTGTAATGATTTTAATGCTTGAACATTGTTTGTTTCATTTTCACTTTGAAAGTCAATGATATAACTAGGATATTCGAGATTTAATATATTTTTCACTTTAGTGATGTTCGTTTCAACTGAATATTTCCTTTGCATTTCGGATTTTAAGCTATGACAGAATTTTGGTTGCTCAAAAAATTTGGCGCCAAGGAAACTACTTTGAATTGTAAGTTGATGATGAAATACGTCTCGATGAGTTCTGAAAGAGAAACTTTTTCTTTCAAATAATCTTTCATCTATATGGACATATATATTTAATTACAAGGTTTTCTTTTTCGGTGTAGTTGTTGACGTCTACAAAATAAAAATAATAAACTGATAATAACGCTTAAATAACTCTTGTTCAATTGACTTTACTGATTTCGAAAACGGATTTAATTCGTCCGAAGCACCTCTCTATAAGAACAATAGAATAAAACTCAAAATAGTTCGATACAATTTGAAAATTTACCATATCGTCTATGACTGGCGTTGGAGCGGTTGATCGTTCATCGTCTACTGGTGTTGCACATCTATCCTATATACACAGGATTGAATTATCAATTATCATATCAATTAACAGATATCGTTTTTATTTTCTATTTTACTGTGAATTCCTTTGCTTGTGATGTTATACTCATTGATGAATACGATCGACGAGTGGCAAATTCTTCCACCTTCTATTAAAATTTCATAGCTTATTATGTGAGAAATCTATTTCGAAAAATGATTACATTTATATATTTATCAAAGTGGCCATTCATTATTTCCACTAAAAAAAAATACGAAAATCCAAAAATAATGTTTGATTATCTGAAGCTTTTCCTTCCATAGATAAACACAATTCTACGTACTTCTGTATTGGTCCTTCTGGTTTATCGATGACATGATTTTTTTAAACTCAATTCGACAACAACAGCAAGTTTAATTAGGTGTCTGAAAATCGACGAAAGCAAATGTACATATAACTGACATTCAATGTTTTACCGACAGGTTTACAAGAGGAATGTTTATTAGTTAATAGCTATTGGCATGTGCGAATCTGATAGAAAACAATCCATGAACAAGTAAACACTTCAATCACTTCAGTTTTTTTCTTTCATGTTCTTTCTTTTTCTTCTTATTTTCTTTCAACTTATTTTACGAAGGCGTTTGCATTTAACATCTCCATCAATTTTTTTCGGCGCAGTCAACTGTATTATGTGTCGCTAGGCATACTATATTGGAGTAGAAAAAGCATGCAGATGTGAGTGTGAACGTGAGACAATATGAAGCAGTGTTGGTGTGGGTGTGGGTGTGGTTATAGAAAAGACTGACATCCAACACCTACTTCCATTCACACCCACTACATCCACACACTCTCCACAGATACATACTAACATCCGCACTCTCCAAATCAACACTCCCTTTATAAAGAGACGCTCAAATTTCCAATTAATATATAATGTTAGAGTCCATCTTCATCTTGGCAAGTTTGAAACAGAGTGTTTATCAGCATGCTTTGAACTCTTTCCGTTGTCGAATTATTATAGAGATAAACTTAACTCTATTCGTGTATTTCAATAACATGCTAGGTACAAAAAGTGGATACAGATTGGGTGTGGGTGGGTATTGATGTAGGTGTGTAGTAAGTGTGATGTGGGTACGTTAAGGAAAATTCACATTCACACCCACAGCCACAGTCACACGTCCACACCGAGAACCGTATCCACCTCCACCCACGCCCATACCCATACATCCACACACTCCACATCCGTACATCCGCACCCCCGACACCCCCGTCCCTACCACACACCCACAAATCTACACACCCTGCATCCACACTCACACTCTTATTCAGAGTGATGGATGAATTTGAAGTTTTTGATTTTCAAAGAAATGTACTATATTTAAAGGTGTTAAGAATAACAGTAGTGCACCTTATCTGCATGTAAGCAAATGGAATTGATATATTTCAATGTGAATCATCTTTCACGAAATTTAGCAGAGTGTACCATTCGGATTTGAGTTGTTGAACATCTGTTGTGTGGGATACTAATCCAAATTACTTTGGTCATGTTGATTGTAATTGTCTTTATGCATTGATTTGGAATCAAGAGTTTTTAAATCTTGTACATCCCTGTTCTTTATGAAGAATGCTTATAGAACTGAATATGTTACATCCTTGAATGCTATTCTGATAAAAATGCCAAAAACTGTGTTCAAAGAGAAAAGAGTATTTTCATCGGGACTCTACGAGATAGTTTTTGATATACAGTAATATGATTTTTTTATACGAAACAAACACACAGCAGTAAAGAGTCACAAAGCAAGAATAACTATTACGACTGAGCTGTAGCTGAGTTTGTCGCATCAGACTGAAGAAGATCTTACATGAAATTGTGAAGAAAATATGAGTTGCTATGAGCGACAAGCAGAAACATTATCGATTAAATAATTATGATGAGATTTAGACCGAGATTTCTTTGTTAAAGTACAGCAACATCTTCATATGTTTCAGAAAATGGTCAGCGAATCTATAGGATGAACGTTACCTGTATATTAACTATCTAATGAGTCTTAATCAAAAGAGTGCCAGATCAAAAATACAATGAAGTTTCTGCTATCCAGGAGAATACCTATTTGCATAGATCTCACCTGTCAAACGAAGACATGCCGTTTATTGTTTCAGAGAATACGAAGAACGAAAATTTCAGGATGCTTCAAATATTGAAAAAAAGATCTCATACAAAAATTTTCCAATGATCACAAGTGAGTTAGGAGAAACGAATTAGTCAGAAGAGAGACCGTGAGAACTAGCATTGGTTACCTGTGAGTTTCATTCCAACTATACCACCTAAAATGTCGATCCCATTGCTTTAAAATTTATTAATCTTCCTATTACATTAACTACAGACAATTGATAGTCAACGTGTTTATAAGAAGTGCATTTTAATAGGTTTCTTGGATGCTACTTCAAATATCTTGAACAAGAAAAAAAAACACCGCTTTAAATGATACCCGAATCATACGCGAAATCGAGCAGTCGGAAGTAGCGGCCGACTGCAAGTTGTTTCTTAAGGTTTACATTAGAAAATCTCAATAAAAAGTTTGGTCGTTTTATAAATTAGTCCTCTTTGGCAACATTATAAACAGTTTTTTTTGTATGACTATGTGTGTTCAGCGATAGTTATCAAAACAGAATCCAAAAAACGGTGAGAGATTATGGTTCGACCGAATTCAGTTGAGGATCAGGCGAGTGGTGACGATGCACGTTACTTGTGATTTTAGGTGCAGGATTCCATACCCCGTTAACGGTCTCATTTAGACTTCCAAAGATGCTCCATTTTTCGAACCGTTTTCAGACGACCTTACACTGATCTTATCATAAAGATGTACAACTAAGATGCATCGTCTAACTTTTTAAATTCCGTCCTCAAACTACACTGTTTCTTACGAGAAAACCTCGATAGGATTTCTTTAATCGAAAGGAACGATGCACAGGACTGAAATTTTTAGCGAATATATACCTTTGTGAACTGTAACTACAATAGAAATTGCAGACCTGTATTTTATTCTAATCACGACTTACCATGTATCAAAATTACCTAAAACATGGATTTTTGCTCCTATTCGATGGTTCATAAAAAAATTAAGGGCTCAATATTTTGAGTTGGAAATTTTATACTGAGTGGAACTCATTAAGATAAATATCCATAAGAAAATTTCAGGTAAATCGGTCGAGCTGTTCTTGAAATATGGTCTTGTCAAGACCACTCTTGATTAAAATGTCCTTGTTTAGGACTTTTCATAAAACGTCCATGAAAAATCGAGCATTCTATATTTTTTTAAAACGGGTTCCATCAAAATTCATAAAACACTGCCCTCTACAACATATCTTTAATGAAGCAAAATTTGACGATCTTGATTGAATAGATTGTCTATGCTGGCAATGTGGCTTACGTAGAATGGCTCTTAAAGCAAAATTGTTAAGTGCTCTTTTCACTACGATCAGTTACTCGTTTGAAATAAAGTTTGGATTTTTTTCCTTATAAGAGACACGTATTAATTTACTTTTGTTATGTGACGAAAGATACAATAATTCTTTATTTCAACAATTATAAGATAAGCCAGGTGCATACTCTGTTTCTTCCTATATAGAATATTTATCTTAGATAAGCAACATAAAATTCATCGTAAAGACTCAACATATAAAAGTTGTTTTTACTTCATAAGTCATCAATGAAGAGAAGTAGTCGATATCATAACGCGCGGTTTGTAGCCATGTGTTCTGTTTGAAATTAATTCGTACCAATAATTCGATTGCCTATATTCACACTATCGGCATCTTAGCTCATTCCTTGATCAAGTTAGTACCTAGTTCGATTTTTTATTCAAATTGCTTTTGTCAATTTTTAATGAGTGAAACAGCAATATCGAATGAATTTTTATCATCTACGATTCTAATCAGTTGTATATTCGCGAACAATCAATGTTGAAATAATATTGATGCGGCTACGAAGCTATTCAATGATAAATTGATATACCTAAAGGAAAATCTGTCGCGCAAACAGTTGAAGATCTTCCATTTGAGTTGTAATAGATACAAATCAAGAAGTGCAATCGAAATAAAAGCTGTGAATACCTGTTACCAAACAGTGTTTTTACTAACAATGCCAAAAAAAATTGATTTAATTAATTATGTTTTCATTTCTTACTATCAAATAGATAGGGAGTTGACTGGAAAAATCTCATTCAAGCGTTCGTTTTGATTCGTCAATTTTGTTGAAAATACATTATGAGATTTCATGTTTAGATTTTAGTTGTAATAAAATATGGATACAAATAATGAATCAACATCAACTCCTCAATATGAGACAACAATATTCACTTTAAAACCAGACAACCTCGGTCCGAACAAGGCAACTTTATTACATGCTCGAACAACAAAAACGAGTGATCTATAGAAAGCTGTTCTTTATTTGCACGGTTACAATGATTATTTTTTTCAGTGAGTAAATACTATTCTGTTCTTCATTTCGAATGTCTTTTTATTTTCAAGTGATCATGTATGTGCTCAATTTTTGGATTTTGGTTATGATTTTTTTGCAGTTGACATGCGTAAATGTGGTCGATCAATAATTTCACCTGAACAAGATCAATATAGACATTATTGTGCGGATATGCATGAGTACGATGAAGAAATTTCACTTGCCATTGAACATATGAACAAGCAAGCAGAAAAATATACTAACAAAAAATTTGCACTTCTTGGACATTCTACGGGTATTTCAATAGGCTATTGTAGAGAACTTAGAATTTAGTAGTGAAGCTTACTTTTTTCGTCACATAACTCAAAGTTTGATTCAAATTAAATTGAAGATTGGAGAACTTAGGTTCATACATTCTGACTCAAAATTAATATTTTTTGCCAACCAAGTTAAGAAGAGAATCTTAGGTTAACTTTTACCTCTTAATCGAGTACATTACACATTTTCCTATGACATTAAACAAAAAGCTAAATCGAAAAGTGCTATTTTGCCTAAGTCATACCATTTTCCTTAGGAGCGCGGACACTGAAAATTGAAAAAGCTGAAGTTTCAAAAGTTCGAAAAAGAAGGTAATCGATCAATAGAGCTTTGCAAGGTCTATAAAATATGTGTATAATTTATTGCGCTCGTTAGGCCTCACCGCCGTCAAAATTCTATCTCGAGTTTCTATGAATAAATTGAGCATCCTGAGGCTATGTTTCAGAAGTAAATGGTTTTATGTCAGTATTGGTTAATTTAAACTACAACACTTATAGTTCAGACAATGATGCACATTGTTGATAGAATACGTTCTCGCTCTCGTATCATTCAGTAACAAATAAACAAGTACCGTTAGAATTAGAGTCCTACGGCCCTATTCTAGGATATAGCTATGTTACGACTTGAACAATGATTTCATGCATCTCGAAGGTTGAACATATCGGTTGAGTCAAATGTGAAATTTTAATTCGTTTTGGTGAATAGGTGGACTAACCGCTTGTTTATATGCAATATCTGGTCCTAAACGTAATGACATTGATGCTCTCATACTTAATAGCCCAAATCTGGTTGAACTTGACATGTCAATAATTCAATCCACTTTAGTGAATGTTCTTATAGCGATGAATGGCTCCAGAGACATCATAGCTGGGTAATATTTTGTTTTTTATATCTAACTTGAAATTTATTATAAAAAAAACACACTTAGATGGAACGGTCGATCGTTGCATGTATCACATAAAGGCGAATGGAATTTTGATACGACCAAAAAGCCTATTAGCATCGTACGTATTCATGGTGCATTTTTTGCTGCTTGTCGTCGTGCCCAACTTGAAGTTACACAGAATGGTACTTCAATTAAATGTCCTATATTATTCATGAGTTCAAATCGATCGATGAAGTCTGAGAAGATTTGGCATGACGAGTACGCTGAAGGTAAATATTGAAAACGTTTTCTGCTACATTGTTATTTATGCTATTTCTTTTTTTAGTTGATCTCGTACTCAATGTTGAGAGCATTCGACGAGCAGCTGCTATGCTTGGTCAACACGTGACAATCTGCCCAATAGAAAAAGCAAATCATGATGTATTTCTATCGAAAAAACCTGTCCGTGAAAAAGCATTCAATTGTATGTTTCAATGGCTCGAAAATCTTGAACGTCAATGGATTAAAAATATTTGAATTTCTTTTTAGACTTGTGATAATCGATTTTAAATCGAAATAGTCTTGAATCATAATTTAGATTTTCATAACAGTCGTTCTATATTTTTTTGTCGAAATTTTCGAACCCTCTAATAAAAAAATAATTAATTTCTTTATACTTTATCAGGAAGAGACAAAAAATACAACCAATTTTCTCCTTTTGTATTGTGTGTGTGTGTGTGTGTGAAGACAAGAAACATGCCGATACCCATCCCATACTCCGAAGATGCAACCGGTCTGAATTTTTGACGACCGATTCCGGTAAGGTATCTTGAGTATAGCTATTCCATACAAGAAAAGCCAATTGATACGTTTGATAAAGTATATTGAATACAATTATATTTTAAGACTATTTTACTCGAAGAGAAAAAAATAAACAAACATAAATCAAGTAGTTAGATCTTTCTAATGTTATTTGATATACAACATTATAAATGAACATAGAATGATTTATATATTAGTGATAGAAGAAAAAAAAAACAGAATAAGAAAAGAGTACACATGATATGATAATCAAACAATCGCAATCAAGAAAAAATCTAATAAGCTAAATGTATGTAGATGATTTTATGTTAGTTTTATTATTAATAAATTCATTTGAACATGATCATTCAGAAGAAGGACGAGCATATCTGTAACCGTAAACGCAATTTGGAACAAAACCGTAGGAAGTAATCGTGAAAAGTGAATCACGTTGAAGTATATAGTTGAAAAGAGGATGCATCTGTGCAATCAAGGACAGCTGTACAATATATGAAAAGTGCATATGTTTTGCCAAACCAATACGTAAATCTAATGTTTTTAAAAAAGGAAGTCGATGAAGTAGAACGTTTGCAATCTTTTTGTAATCAATTGTTTCCTTATATTCCCTGCATAGATTGACGTTTAAATGAAATTGTCGAAGATTAGGAAAGAATGAAAGAAGAAGATCAAATTGACCATTGTGAAATAAAAAACCTTTGAAAAGACGAAGTCGAAGATATTTCATAGATAAAAAACAACGAGTTGTGAAAATAAATGGAGGAATTGCATTATTACACGAGAAATCAAAATAGATCAAAGAAGGACACACTGATAAAATCTTCTCGAATACACTTCCATCTTGTTGTCGTATAGTCAGCTGACGAAGATTTTGTAGTTGTATAGTAGTTGTTGATAGTGGAAGAACAACTGGTTTACATTTGCCAAGATAACATATTTCCAAACGAGGAAATTCGCCATTAAATATAGATTGAACTAGTTTAGGTGAGCTAATCGGTAAAAAGAGTGATTGCAATTGAGAACAAATATCAGGACGAATTGTATTTTCTAATTCATCTGATGGGTGATGAAATAAGCCATTATCTAATGACGAATAAGTTTGAAATAAACTATTGTCATCTCTTATGATATTAGATTTGAAAAGAGAGCGTAGTTCTGATGGATGCATTTTGACGTGAATTGCTTTGAATGAACAGAAGAACGAAAGAATTGGATCTAAATGATTCTTTGTTACAAAAATCAAGTTGGGTAACGATTTAAGAATTGAATTGAGACGATTGTTTAAATGTGCGAACGCCAAATAGATTTCAATAGCTGTAAAATAATCAAAAATTTCGATAAAAATTTCGATAGGTAAATCTTCTAATCGAGTTATTATTGAATGATCCATCTCTATTCTACGTTCTATATTATCATAGAAGAAAATAATCATTGCCGTTGCTTTTTATAGTCATTAAAAACAAAGACAAAACGTCTTTTGTATCATTGTATTCTACAAAATCACCAATACGATCAAAGCACTGATTGTATATGAGAGAAAACAAAAAAGTTGCCTATTTATTGATATGAATAACTTTTCTAAAGCGACATTCCGTTTGGCTAAAATAATTCATTTATCTTTCTAATTTTAATACAATCCTCTACGAATATAGAATATTTTCTCCATCATCTTCGTGTTTTATGAAATGTAAATCCAAGAATAAAAAATCTATTCATTTTACCTAAAGTTCTAAAATACAGCATGCTTTAAGTTTCAAGAATCATCATGGCAATGCTTTTTTTTCAAGAAATAAAACGCTTTAAATTGTAAATCCTGGCGAGAGGAAAACAGCAAAGACTTCAGTGTTGAAATCTCTTGAAATGTTAGAGTCATAGTTTATAATATCTATTACGCGACTTGTTCGAATAACAAGTCAATCGGTACGATTAAAGGTTGACACTAAATTGTTTTTAATAAATATATCGAAGAAAAAAAAATGGCAGTCACCAGTCAATATGATGTATTTTATGAAAAATGGCTTGAAAATACACTTTTGTCTTTTATCTCTGATGAAAATAGAAACATGAATAGTTATGTTGAAGTTGTTCAATCTATAGTTTGGTATCAGTAGATTACCTTCTGTTCTTTTCATGCTTGGAAATAGATGATTTTTATGAAGCTTTATAAACTTGTATGAGTGTGAATGGATCTTCTTTTGATAAATCCACATCCTCATGTACGGCAAACAGAACAAAAGAGAAAAGTTAATAGATGACTAGGCTACAACTAATTCTATAATCTTCAGAAATAAATAAAAAAACAAGTGATCATTTTGATTGTTTTAATGAAATAAATTCATTCAATGGATTGGAATACATCAATCTGACTATGTTCCATAGATTGAATGTCATCAGTATGTCAGCATTTGCTTTGTCACAATTCGATCATATCTATACAAGAGAGATTATCATTAAACACTACGTAGTTTATGGATATGTTGTGATGGAAACAAGATCTATCATTTCATAGAGACAATCGTAGAAGTGATTATAGAAAATATTAATTGAATTAAAACAACTGAAAGGTCAAATTTATGTAAAAAGAAATCAATAACATCCGATCAAATAAAAATGAACTAACAATAAATTCAAAGCAAAAAAATTGAATATACCATTGATTAATTTTTTTTCAAAGCTCGTCTATCATCACTGTTATCAACAGTTACTGTTGAAGTTTTTCTTAATTTTCTTATACAATTCTACTAAAAATTAAATTAGATGACATGACATCGATTTCCCAAATGATAATATAATTAACCATGTTTAAACTAAAAAAAAATATTATTTGTATAAACTGATGAAAGACACTCTCCAATGAACGTCATATCAAATTAATAGAATAAATTTAGAATGAGAAAATTTTCAATTAAGAAATATAAATGTATTAATTAACATTAATATACTAAATGACATCCATATGTAAGAAACTTGTTGTAATGTTATCTTTTTTTTAGCATCAATTAAAATCTATAGAAAAAAAAAAGAAACGAATATACTGAACCCTCATCATTTCTTTCATCAAAATAAACGAAAAATATCAAAAACTGTTTGTCGGAATTTCGCTTAGATTTCTCATTTGACAAAAAAATGTAATCCTTTCCAATTAATTGCATATTCAAAAAATGAATCGATGATCATTCGATAACCGTGTTTTCGGTTGCTCTAATAAAAATTGTACTTAAATGCATACAATTTTATAAATATAAAGCGAATATCTCTCTCCAGTTGAATCGTACTTGCTTATTGCATTTGTCAATCCGTGTGGACAGCTTTTCTTCAGATATATATTAGCGATTTTAGCTGAATTTGCAAGTTTCAACTTTTTGAATCTGTACGTAATTTGATATCCTCTAGTTAACAGTGAGAGATTCTAAAATCTAGCTAGTGCCAACAGGTCATCTTTACATTGATAGTATTATAAATAATGGTTGATCGACATTCCGTCTATTTCGACAAAAGATATAAAATTCTCAGTTGAAAACTAATGAAAGTTAATTGTAAACTGGTTTTTGCATATTTCTAACCTGAAAAAAAAATCCATTCATGCCCTCCGATACTTAACGAAGAGGAGTCTAATAGAAGCCTTTTCTAGAATACTTGTTCACTAGGGTATAACAGAGTAATCGTAGTCTTTTATTAGAAAGAAATATTAATATTGTATTGACTTTAATTAAATTGATCATGATGTGTAAGTACTTTTCTTTCAAAAGGAGAGAACACATTCATTTACATTCTGTTTTTCTTCGAGCAAGAAACGTGACAAAAAATATAAATGATTTCATTTCTATTTAAGACATCTGTTTTTTTTTGTTATTCACTTATCTTGGATTGTATATCGAAATTTTGTTATCAACTGTATGAATTTAACTCAGAGTCCAACTGATCCGAATCAACCTAACTCGAAAGCAAAGTTGATTCGCAATATTACGAGCTGAACCGCATCGACGAGGATTGAGACGGATTGTGAGTTTTCACTTCAACTATATCCACTCTCAGTTTCAAAATTTAATTGAGTCTTCATTCATCGAAAATGTATGAAGATAGTCAAACGCATTGTGTATTTGACATGTCATAGTTCTATCGTTATGATTCAAAAATAAATGAGTGGTGAGAATATTTGCATATCACAAATTGATTTTCGACAAAGTAAAGTTCGGACAATCACATAATATTTATTTTTTCATGAATTCTAGGTATGGTGAAATACTCTTCCTGATGCTGTCTGTATATTCTTTGATGATGATTTGCCAACGATATTATCCTTCAGACAAGATATACACGTGTCGAGTACACAAAAAAAAACATCATGTACGCTTTCTTTTCTATCTGTCTCTTCATCATTTATAGCAGAACAAACAAAAAAAACCTACGAATTGCCTCGACCATTAACAAAGTCTGATTTGCTAGGCTATTAATGGTAAAGGAAAGAAAGAGAGAGAAAAAAAAACGTGTTGACTATATCGTATGTTTGTCTTGCTTTAAGAGGTCAAAACCTTTAACGAGTCATTACGTACGAATAAACATATAGTATCATAAAGAGTATTGTATTTCAATCAGTTTCATAATAATCATTTAGAGAGATTCTTGAAAATTCAGTGTAATGAAAGATCTTATTTAATGTTTAAAAATAAGCATGATTATTCAACAGAAGACAAGCAGGTATAAAATTATGAAAACGAAACATAGCCAATAATCTAAACAATGATTTGAGATGAAATGAACGGATACACGAGCAGCGACAGTACAACGGCCATATTGATAACTGAGCTACAACCATGGGCTATGCCAAATTGCTTGTTTAATGCTTTCAGTCGATCACTAATATCAGGATCGTTGTATTGTTTGCCTTCTTCTCTTTCTACTTTGTGTCTCTCGTTCATAATCCTATTTATATAAAGAAAAATATATGACAAAAAGAGAGAGATGTTTAGTTCATCATACTTTGCCGTCCAACGTCCCACAATCGTTAAATTGATTAATCCACCCAGAGCGCCAATAAGAAAAATGACACGAGCATTTCGATTTGATGTTGTTATCAAGCATATACCACTAAGAATACTTTGCAATGAAAAATAGATAGGAAACAGCTTGCTTTGGAGCAGACCGAACTGTTGACGAGGCAACGTTTTGAAAGCAACAGGACCACCAATGAACGAATGCCAGAGAGTGATACCTGTTAATGAAGCATACGAAAGAAGATGATATGGAGCAGAAGAGCTGAGAAGCATTGCTGCCATTTTTTAAGTATGATAATTATAGTATAATACATTGAGATGCAATGAGTGATCGGTTCTCTCAACCAATCAGAAGAAAAAATAATGTTGAACTTACAATCTTATGTTTTATGTTAAAACATCATTATTTAACATTATCTTATAATTTTAGAGTAATATATGATAGTTCTAAAGAATTTTGAGCGACATCTAGCAGAATATGAAATTCACCTCTATTATAAAATAATGTCAAATGAGCTTTCGATTTCAGAAATTTTAAAGTTTGATTGTGTTAAAAAGACTGATCTAATGTACTACACTATCGGAGGTCTTGGTAAAAAAAAGTGGAGAGTGTAATGGTGAACATTATTTTCATAGCAGCTGATTGTATGGTTCTTGACGTTGATTATATGTATGTTCTCATTTCCAATTATAGCCTATTTGTTTTTGAATTTTTAGAAAATGAAATCAATCTTCGTCGTTCGAACAAAATTCATTCTTTGCTTGATTAAATAAACGAGTTGAGATTATGCATTAAAAATTTGTCAAAATATAAAATCATATGAATCGAAACACTAAAACACATTGTGATATCGAATAGAATCGAGAAGATTGAACCAAATAAATCATAGTATTTTGAAAAGAACTGTGTAACAAGTTTTCAGATACTTTAAAAAATTTGTTGAGTGAAGCGAAAGTGAAAAGAGAAAAACTAAAAATATTAAGAGTTCAATTATTGTGATTGCATTGCCAAAGATTTGTAGATCCTTGCCTTACATAAGTACTCATATAGTTAACTCAAGCGTATCTCTTTTGTAAAAGAAAAAGAGGAAATCATTTATTTACTTCGATTAAACCTCTAGCCATCTTACTTTTTCCCTGTGAACCAATTCTGCTGAAAATTTTTGTATGATGCACGACTATCAAAAGTTAGCATAAATCAAGAATTTGAACCAATTAAAGGTTGAGAAAAACATTTAAAAATTATATCACTGTGCCAAAAAGAATAGAAATATTGAACATACACCGTTCGATTGAGTTTAGATTTGTTTCAATCGCTGGGAAAAAACAATGTGCACTGCCGATTTTTAGAAATTCGATTTTGAAGCTGAAATATTCTATATATACTTAAACACGTGGCTGTATAGCAACTATAAAATTTCTTTATAAATCACTGGTATCAGATCTTGAAAAAGCTACGATTTAGATTGTTGAGTTCTTTTCTTATTCGAATCAATCAAATCCGAACTCGAGCAGGTAATATTTACAGCACTTTTATTCATTTTGTTGGCGAAAAGCTGAAATCGAGAAAACTTTTTGTACAGCTTTCTTGGTTTCGAGTGACTTTTGAATGGAAAAGATCGAAAATAATGGTAGAGAATTCTTAATGACAAGAAGCTAGACAATTCATATGAAAAGAAAACCAACAGAAAAATATAAGATTTTTATTAGTTTATTCAACATCCAATTCAGTTTCATCACGAGAGGCGTAAAATGCATTTTTTCACGAGTTTTAATCCAGAAACTCCAATTTTTGAATATTGTTTTCGTGCTCCTCAGCTGAATAAATGGTAAGTACAACTTTGGTTCAACTTTTAATACATCCGCATTACTTCTGTATACTATATGAATTATTGCTAACTCGTGAAAGAAAAAATGCCAATAGAATAAGTTAAAATCAAACATTTCTCGATTGAGCGGGTCAGAATCTAATTTCCTTTTCATTCAGTGGAATATTCCATTGTGTCATTCTATATACATATATACAATATTGCACGTTCTTTGTATTATTTATCAGTAGTTTTTGTTCGTGTCTTTCATCATCTATTCTTCTTTATTTCTGGTCTCTCAAGTCAATAAACTTGATATTGATCTTTGCCTACTTCGTATTGCGAATTCAATACGTGACATGAGGTAATGTCAGGAAAAATGAAGTGATTTTTACAAGAATATTCTAAATTTTCAGGACTTATGTTACAATCCAATATTTTTACATTTGATAAGAGAAAATGTCGAGTCTTCAACATGAAACTAAAAATGAAAAATTGAGCTCTATGTAAAAAAACTCAATTTTCTGTAGGTGAGAGGCAGGTCATAAGTTAAATCTCATCAAGCTTTTCAATCATAAACATCATTTAGACTCGTCCGTTGGCTATTGTTAGATACCAGCAAGAAGATGAATTTCGATCGAATCGAGATTGTCTTATCAAGGTTTAAGTATAAGCGTATATCGATCTTGCGCCCCATTCAAGTTCAATATCAATTCTCAAAGCAACGACCAAATTTACTTCAGTCCAAAATAATAGAAAATTTTATTCAAAATTTAGAAGGGTACCGGTGTAAATGCACGTGTGGTATTAGTGTTATGTCTGAAATGTTCTCCTTCAATCATAAGATGGAATGAGAAGGATAGTAAACAATCCTTTCTAGTGCAGTGATAAAACAGCTACCCGGAAAGCAGAAGACGTCGGTTCGATCCTCTCGGGAGAAGTATCTTTTGTTCCGTTCTGTTGTCATACCATCACGTTGCTGTCTCAGTGATAATAACGAAAAAAGAAAGATATAACATTTAGTGTGGACGAAACAAATATTCGTACCCATATTCTAAAATCGATAAATAAAAGTAGAATTGCATGTCTTTAATTGTCAAATATAGAAGATTATGAGAAGAATTTATTGAAAAGCGAAAAAGTGATATAGAAATAGGGTGTGGGTGTGGGTGTGGGTGTAGTTGTACTTGTATATGATGGAGTATGGGTGTGGGTGTGGGTTGGAATGTCATATTCAAGTACAACTACACTCACACCCACACCCAACATGATGTGAGAAGTAAGGACAGAAAGATAAAGTCAATACATAAGATGAGAAGAAGCGTAAGGTCAGGTCAAACATCATGCATATAATGTACTCAAGCGGGAGCGTTAAATTTAGTCCACACGGAGTTTTCCTTTCATTGTGTTCGGTCTTGCCCCAATTACACGAGTCCCAGTAGCTAGTGCCTGTCTGCTCATTCCGTTTCTCAGCCAAGTTTCTGCTGTTACTCGTTGACTTTCTACATTTTGTATGTCTATCGTTGAATTAGTCAGTAATGATGAAGTAGCACTACTATGTTGCTTTTGTTTCGCTTCCAGATCGCACAGAATCACGAGTGTGTGTTGTAATTCAATTGTTTCGTCCACTTCAAAGGTTTGTAAATCGATCTCACTCACACGATCACTCCAAAGATCAGTTCTTTCCAAGTATAATTGAAGTGGTACATCGAGAGCAACATTTGCATTAAGTACACGAACCATCAGTCGTCTAAGCATTCCAATCCAACAATCGATTGATGATAATGTAGTCGCAATGGTTTCTTTTTCGTATGTCGCTCGTCCAAATTGATTAATCACTCGAAGGCGTTCTTCAGATGTAAATGCTTCTGGACATAGATTTTTATTGAGATATTGGCGTAGTATACGATCAAATGCAAACTCTTCTAACATTTCATAAAGATCAATTAAATAACAAAGTTGAACAGTTGAAAAAGGTGGTTTCCGTAAAATATTATCTTTTAAACAAGTATGCGAAGGAATATAAAGTTCGACAAAATTTTGAATTGACATCGTCGGTCCATAATGATCATTGTTTTCATCCATCACACAATTACGCAAGTAAGTAAAGATATAATCTAGTGAGCCAAGATAATGAAGAATATCATCATGATTCATTCTCGAAATTAAATTAAACAAATGTATTCGTTCAGTGTCAATCAATCGAACTTGCTTAACACGAGCTCGAACATCATTGATTAATGATGTGTTTTCACTATAGAGTTCAAATTGATAATTAAGAAAATGAAATTTTTCTGTATCAATCAATGGAAGGCGACTAACCATATCACGCAAATAAATCTCAACTTCTTCATAATCATATATCATATCTTTACTTTTTCCATATTCATAATTAATAACAGCACTATCATCAATTAATTTTTGACTCAAATCGCAACGATCAAGCCAAAATACATGCTCAGGATGTATTGCTTGAAGATTAACATGTTTTCGATTTTCTAATGTTCCACTATGAGCAACAGCATTATGAAAATAATTAACTAATTCATTTTGTAATTCAGCTATTGTTTTCATGCAAGCTGCAAGTAAAAGGCTACTTTCATCTCTTGAAGTATTCAATAATAGAGCAGCAATACTTGTTTCTTTAGCAAAATTTAAACGATTTTCTATACGTTCTAATTTTAATGTTATACAATTGAAACGAAATTCTTTTATTGTTAATGAATACCATGCATGTAAAAAGTGTTCATAAAGTTGTTTTAGCATAATATGATCATTGTCATTTTCCAAATAATATGAAAGTTTCATACAGGCAGCATCAATACGGCGAATACGATGATTAAATTTTTCAATGAGATAGTTGGAAAAGATAACAATAGGATAAAGATATCGGATATTTGTATAATCATCAAGACGTTTAAGTATAAATTTCGTCATAGGATACATTCTATCTCCATGTGGTAATGAACCCATTTTAACAATAAATTCATTTAATGGATCTGTTGTATGAAATTTAGTTACATTGAAAAATGATAAATTAGGATAAAATTCTTCATTTTTGCAAAGTTCGTTCACAAAATCTTGAAGTAGTGGTGTTGTATCACATTCACGTACAAATTCTGCATAGGCAACTTTGTATTGATTTATTTCATCTGTTACTGATTCCAAATGTGTAAGAATAAGTTTTTGTTCTATCACTTGTTCGATTTGAATTATTTTCTCATTATTATCTAAAATTCCATCAACGAAAAATGTTGCATTTATAAAATGATTAAGTAATTTGTACATCCAAATATAACAATCATCAGGATTGGGTAAATGACGAGAAAGTAGTTCAATATCTTTTTCAATATGATTACGAAAATGTTGTTTACAATTTTGAATATTTAAATCATTGTCAGACAAATATTCTCTATCGGAAAGAAACAATAGGATTGTATGTGTTAAAAGATGAATGAAACGAAATGTTATCGGAAGAATTAAGTGATCGGGTTTTTCATCGACGGCACTCAATTCTGCCGCCTCTAAATTGTGATACCCGAAACGATTCATTTTATTGGATTCAATAATATATTTGTTAATAAATTGAAAACCATCTTCAATAGATCTTCTTATTTGAGGTGGTTCACGTTCAATAAGAATACCGTATCGTACGGCCCCAATTGGTTTTTCACAGAGTGGACAGTTACGACGGTCATTGGGAACACCACAATTTTCAAAATAAAATGTCCACAGGCAATCACGGGAGCATTGAAAAATGAATTTGCCACTCTTATAAATTAGACCTCGATTCAAACGGTCTTGAACTTGTGTACGTACATCAATCATCTGTTTAACAATACGATCACTAGTAATTAGACCAGGTAAACAACTTTTTTTCAGATGTTGAGAATAATTTGTAGGCATTTTTCGATTTCTGTCAAATAATAAACTGCCTAAAAGTGATATTTGTTGATTCATTTTGAACGATAGGAATAAAACAATAATATTCAATGCAAGTAAACGACAATGAATATTTGCTATTGACAATTGTGGTAATAAGCGAAAATATGAATTGACTGTAAAATTACTGCAGAGTGAAATCAGTAATTGTTGACCAATTGGTTCAAAAACTTTAATCAAATCTGTCGACAATTCATTTTCAAATAAATCTTTCCAATGATTGTCGATTGGTGTATTGAATGTATAAAAACACGAATAATAATGAATGAAATAGAGAAAAAATGAATAAGTTGTTTCAGGACGATTGACACACTCTTGAATTAGTCGACGTAATTCATTTTGATCTGTAGTTTGAGATAGAATTTTGCTAACACGTTCAAATTCATCTTTCGATTCAAAAAGAAGTGTTGGTAAATTTAGATTTTGATGTGTGTCTTGTGAAGGTTCAAGAATCGATTTAATCCAATGTACATTACGATTGATAAACCGTTGCCGTAATTGACGAAGAGTTAGATTAGATAATTGAAGTAGTTGTTTAGTAATAAACAATTTGATGGTCGAGCAAAAAGGTGATTCATTGGTCGAAAGAAAATCATTGATTTCTCCAATAATATTCTCTCGACTATCATTATTTAATGCAAATGCATACATTTGGCAGTAATATTTAATCCATGATAATAATGCTATATGTCTAGCTGGATTTTCAGATGATACATATTGAATCTCTTGAAAATTCTCTTTGAAATGAATAAAATGTTTAGTGAGCATTATCTCGATTTGATCACCCGTAACATCCATCATAAGATTGAGATGAAATCGATTTGCAAACAAGTGTTCAGTTTTACGCGTTGAATTAGTTGATTGTCTAAAAATATCGTCAAGTTTCATATATTTGTCATCAATTGGTAATTGTCCATTGGTTGTTTTTATTGTCGAAAATAAATTCAATTTTCGATCGATATATGTCAAATTTTTTGCCGAATAATGCCAAAGATTATTTCTGGATTCATCCAATAATTTAAGAATATCATCATACGAATCACTATTTTCAACCATCCAATCTTTAAAAAAGCCCATTTCAAGTTTGTCTAATGTATGGTGAATAAGACTTTCATTTTCTAGAGAATTTTCTTTTCTAATTGTATTCGATAGATTAATAATAAAATCATGAATCGATTGACTAGAAGAAAATTTCCCATTGAATCCTTTGATACATTCATGTTGTAAAATAGTAAGTGCTTTTTCCGGTATCAATGTAGTTAAACAACGAATAAGACTAAGAAAACAACGAAGTTTCTCAAGATTAAGAATTTCATAGGATGGCAGATCACGTATACCACGAACTATTAAACTAAAATTAATTGTTAATTGTTCAATGTTTGTTACTTCTTGAATGATTGTTGATGAAAGAAGAAGTTCAATTAAATTCATGAGACTTGTTTCAATCAATGGATTACCCTTGCATTCAAACACTAATTCGTCATCTATCGATGTTTCATATGGGGGAATTTGATATAGATTATCATTCTTCCAAATTAGAGTATAATATGGACGTTTTTCAATTGTTAAATTATTAAATTCGATTATTTGACATTTTAGAATATCGATAAGATCATTTTGTTTTACAAGTTGTGTACCAATTTCAAATAAACGAAGAATTATAGTTGTTTCTACATTATCAGTAAGTAAACTTTTTACTTGATCTATTGGTTTTTTGTTATTATCAATAAATAGAGTAAAAACAAAATCAGTTGATAATTGAATATTTGTATCACGAAGATGCATGGCTATTTGATCATGATAATAATGATTAAATAAACTTTGATTTTCAAATATATAATCAATGAAATCAGTTCCATAAATACTTTTTGCTCGTAATTGTCTTATTGCTCGACGTTCTCGTTCTTCGAATTCATCATCAAAATTATTTTGATGATTGTCTCCAATTTTTTCACGAATTTGTTTTATAATTTCATATTCAGCTGCTGCACAAGGTAATCGAAGATCAAATACTAAATCAATTGGAATTGTATCAAGATTCATAACACTAGTATCAATTGTTTCTAATGTTTTTATTAAACATTTCATCCAAAGTTGATTGAGATTAATTCGATATTCAATATTAATATTATTAATTAAAAAAATATATGAATCAATAAATGAATATTTTTCAAGATGTCCTAAAAGAAGAAGAAAATATGTGTCATAAAAAAGAGCAATTGTTGCTTGAATAGCGTCTAGAGTTGAACGACTTGCTGCAATTGTTGCAGCATTTGTTAAAAGATCAAGACGCCAATCAATAAAACGTGTTTTATTAGGTATTGAAATTGTTTGAATTATTTCGATAAGATTGTGTTGTACAATTGATCGAAGATGAAGATTATTTTCATCGATTGTATTATCATATTGTTTAATAAGAATGTTCATTATTTGATTACGTCGAAAATTAATACGTTTTTCATCATCTGTATAAAATGTTGAATAGCGAAATTTAGTTAAACATCGATCAACAAGTTCATCGAATAGACAATCCGAAAGAGAAAATAATGAATGTGAGATTAACTCAAGATAAGATGGATTTTGAAGAAGTTTGCGAGGTATATATTCATGACTATTGAGATCATCAATCATATCTACTGGCCAATTATCGAATAAAACATTATTTGTTACTTGATTAAGCATATTTCGCTGAAGATGAAATATAATCCATATACCACGATTACTCCTTATAACGTGTTCATTGAATAGAACATGTTTTAGTGACAGAATATGTTGATGTTCACCATGATAATCGACTCGAATCAAAAGAAGACGTGTTGAAAAATGTTCAGATTTATAATGATTTTTTACATAACTAATTAGTTCGTGTTCAGTTTTAAGATTTCCCAGTTTGACTTCTTCAACATCGCTACACGGGAGTTTGATCTCGTGATATAGTTGAGTATATGTATAAATGATTCGATTGTTCAATGTATTGTTTTTGAATGCTTCTTCTATTAATTGATTAAACGAGAAATGTTCACGTAGATTATAATATTGATCAATAATATCATTATTCGTCGAATTCAAAGCAAGAATTATTGGTAAATCAAAAGTGCTTGTTCGAAGCAGAGTTTTCTTGCAAAAATTGAGTACTTTTGAATTTTCAATTTCGGTTTCGTCATTATCAACATTAATATGTAAACAATCGAATGCCTCAATAATGAGAGTACAGAGATAATCATGACTATAAGTAACGAACAAATGTTGGCGTAAAGGAAAATATTTTCCTAAATTAGTCGGGATAAGAGTATCAATCCATGAAAGCAAAGCACTTGTCATCGACCAATGTCGTGGTTGAACAAGACTATGCCAATCAATGACATGTTTCTCGAAACGATTCAATAGTGGTGGATCACATTTATCTACATCTTGTTTGTTAATAAGAACAACACAATAAAATTCCTCATGAACAAAACATTGAGGATGATAGAGAGCACCCAAAAAAATCCGACAAAATTTTCTTCGACCCGCAACAGAAAAATTCTGATTAAATAAATCGTATAAATTATCGTAAAGATGACCCATTTGACGCATAATTAATATCGTATTTCTTTCAGCGTAGAGAATAATATCCATGAGAACACGATAATTGTATTGTTCAGCATAGGTATTACCTAAGAGTAAATCACCTGGAAATGAACTGCCAACAATTGTTCGTACATCGGCAGATTCTTTTTTTCTATGTCGAACAATGTAACGTTCAACATAGTCAATGACACTCTCATTTTCTCCAATCAACATAAGATATCTTCCTTTTCGAGTATTTAAACTGTTATCGAGTAGAATGTCAAAACTCAGTTTTTGATATTGATCTTGTAAATCTAGTCGATTGACTTTTTCACAAAAGCTTTTCCATACAAATTCAAATCCAATTTCAGTACCATCAAAATTAACGACTAATTGACGATGAATAATTGCATATATATCTGAATCAGCACCAAAATGACGAAAATCATGAACAATTCCTTTTATTAATGAGTAATAATCACGAAGACCAAAATAATTTTCCGCTTCATGGTGAGTTTTTTTCATAAATTCGCGTAGCGAATAATAAGCATAAGCCAGACCTTCAAGAACTGATTTATTGAGTTGAATAGAATATTCTTCAGTACTCATACTTTCACAAATCGTTTCAGCGGTTATTTGTAAATCGTTGACATCAGGATCAGATATTGCAAGATAAAGTGCTCGATTCATTTTCGATGCATCAAGGCGCCAATTGGATACACCAACGAAACCATACTGACAATTTTCTATTTCTAGTTCACCATGAAGAACTTTAAGAGGATTATGAGGCGACAATTCCGCAAGACCAATCTCATCAAATACAATTACAGGAATGAGCTCCTCTGAACTTTTTACTTGTGTATAATCAGCAGCTCGCTCGAATACTTTCGTAATACTTTCAGATGTACAATTCTGTGATCCCTGAAACGAAACAGGTACTAACTCAGGAAATATGCGAAAGTGTTCAACATTTGATTTTCTGCCCTTGAGATTGCTAAGGACAATTTGAATGGCTGATGTTTTACTGCAACCAGGCTTTCCACAAAGAAACAAAGGTATCCGATTGATAATGCATGCAAGAAGAACAAAGATATTGTCGTATAATGCACGATTACGAGCTGTACCTGGAGGTAAGTTCATTTTTTCAACAATACGCTGTTGTTCTTTTATCAAGACATCGCTCAAGTATGCTGGTCCAATATCTGGCATACACGATTCGAGAGCAAGCTGAATGATTTGGAGATATTCTTTTTGTCGTTCTCGCGAGGCCAGACGGAAATAATAGCAAAGCATAAGAGCCACCAAACTGGATCGTCGAAAAGGCACTAACATATTTTGTTCACATTTCTCTTTACCAACACGATTGATTGTATACTGGAGAAACCAATTGAATAGACGACAGAACCTTGCTACATCACGCAAACTGACACTACTAACATCTTCGTGTTTACGAAAGTAGTTGTGCGATTTAACTAGAAGATTAATAATTGTTCTAAACCAGATATTGTTACTCCATAACGGATTGCATGCTCTGAGCATTGCTTTCATGTATTCAGTTTCAGTCACTTCATCGAGAAAACCATAGTCCCAAATATACTCGAGCATTGTTTCAGGTATTGATACGACTTTATATAGAAGTTGACGATTTGCATCGATGAGTATTTGAATGTGATAGCGGTTTTTCTTGATCCCTACAGTATCATCAATTTGATTCTTTTTCTGTCGAGATGGATTACAAGCGCCTAAGAAAATCATGTTTTGAGGCAATGAATTTCCGAGCAATGTTCGTTCACATATGATTTCTTTTAGTACACCGATGTTCGGAGTTGTATTGAATTCATCAAAAAAGACCCAAAGACGTTTCATTTTGCGTTCACATTCGTTAGCTTGATTAATAAAAAGATGCATTGTTTCAATAATTTTCTCACTTGTAACGCCTGCATGCATTCGAAAAATAGCAAGTTCATCATTAAGAATCTTTTGGCACAAAACATTAATGAGAGCCGTTTTGCCGCATCCTATTAAGAACAAGAAATGAAAAGTGAGTGATAAATTAAATTGTTCTTGCGTTGCTTATTTCCTTTCAAAATAGGAAAAACACGCATTGATATCAGAGATATAAATAGGGTCTGAAGATAGGTAGGAGGTTAAGTGAATGTTTTAGAATGGAAATAGGTCTTCTATCACTGTCATTGAGCAAACAAGACACTAAATTCCTAACATTCAGGTGCAGAAGTGGCGGAACGCTTCAAAATCAGGCGAGACTCAATGAAAGTTTGTTGGCTATCCTAAGGAAACTTTTTACATATTATTTTGATATATAACTGAGCAAATTTCAATTAATAAACTATTTCAAACTATTTAGTTCTGTTGTTTCTCATGAAAGATACTGCACTATTTTGCTGTTCTTCTTAACAGACGAGTTTTTAAATCTTTACAAAGCTACAATAATTTCAAAGATTGTAAAAATCATATATTTTATATTCCATTAGACTATCAATTCAAAAAAAAGCTCGCCTTTTCTTATTCGACGATATAAACGGTGATACTATTTGAGTTGGGTTAATTTTAACAATCAGAAGGTTGCACTGTATTTTTCAATGGATTTAATCGTACTAAATGTTCGTTCAACAGTTACTGTGAAAATGATGCTGTCTGACCTTTCGCTTTTTTTCGTAAAATATTCGAGAACTGATCTAGGGGATCGTTTCGATGATGTTTATTGGCTATAATCTAAAATATGAATACTGACATCATCCTTGAAAGAGAATATTTTTTGTTGGATCAAATCTACATAAACTTGAACAATATTCTGATCATGATGCATGCTATTATAATCTTCTGTCGTTCCAGTACATTCATGATGTCAAACGGATCTAGAAAATGCGAGAGTTCGAAATTCAGATAACTATGGAAATCAATTTTTCTGAGACTGTATTTAGTTAATATTTCTGCCAAAGTTTTAATTATTACAGCTCTACTCTCACTCAATAAAATGGAATGAGTAATAATATCACGAAAGAGAAGACAGGTGATCAGATATGGATACTTTGCCTTTTAGGCACACGATTTTATGTTTAATCTATTCTATATAAAGGTCTGTGTGAATAAAGTACACATGTCTCTAAGAACCATGATGCCATGAATAGCAGGCTTTATGACTAGCTCAATTTTTCAATTTTTTTTTCACGTCAATATATAGATAAACATGTAAAAAGCTTCAATCTCTTCACTGAAATAAGTTTTGTCTATCGAACAACGCCAGATTCAAGTGTGACCAAGCCTTACAGTCGTAATTCAGGTGAGACTCAAGCCTTTCAAGCCTACACGTTTCGCCACCTATGTTCGGGAAAAAGGAGAGTATACTCTCCTTCCTACATTATTTGCGCACCTGTCTATTGTCCATAAAGATTTATTTGTATTACAATTTTGAAAAATCACAAATAAAGAGTTTTATTTATTAAACAAAAACACCAACAGTTTGGAGGGACAATAAACTTTTTCACACTATATAAATGTATCACTTGGTTTTATTAATTTTCGACTTCTTTAAAAAAACCAACCTGATTTGGGTATAGACAATTAAAGCCGTTTGATCATAGGAGAGTTTATCATATATATATTGGAAATGGTTCTGTATTATATCAAGTGAGTCTTTTCATAGATAGAGTTTTACCTGTTTCACCCATGATGAGTACTGGAAGATTGCTTTGAACTCGTAAATAGATAAGCAACATTTTGACATAGTTATCTGCTGTAAAAACGTATTCCTCATGTAGAAGTTCAGCAATCTTCGTTTGAAACTTTAAGATATCTTTTTCGTTGGATGTTTCCGGACGAAGAAGTGGCACATTTTGGCAAGATGAACATTCGTTGACTTCCAATTCGTACTGTTTGAAACATTTTGGACAAACAGATTTTGCAAAGAACTTGCTCGAGAGAGAAGCAAGTTTAGTGAAAAAATCTTCATGAACCAATGAAGTATACTCAGAGATCATCTTAGTGCGTCTCTCACGTCGTGCAGCTCTATTATAAAGATCAAAATAATGAATAAAAGCTTGAGGAATGTCAGACACTTTCTTGTAAATAATCAGCGGTTCATGCGTTTCGGTAAACACGAGAGTCAATGGGTTTATTTTATCCCAACGAATAATCGCATCACTTACGGGTATTGGGTCCTTGGTGCGCTGCTGTTTTCGCACATTTTCAACCGAAAAGGAAGTAAATTGATCGGATGAATTGAGAAGTGTCTGAACTAGATCCATTCGTAGTTGTGGATTAGGAACAAATTCAACTAAGAAAAAACTACAAAATGAGAAACCAGTAAACAGACGGTCGAAAATGGATAAAAAAATCCATAATTGAGTCCATGTAATATTTTTCACATTTTTGTTGCGCAAAAAGAACTTTTGCATCAGAGTCGAACAGGTATCAACATCTAGTGTCTTGAATATCGATGAATTTACATTTTTTCTTGCGATTAATTCAGATTCTATGGCTTGAAGATAATTGCTGACTAATTGAACCTTTTCATTTTCGATGTCAAGTTCATTCCAAAGAAGTTGTGTGAGATGAACGTGTTCTATAGGTTTGAAAAGATTGATAAAATCTTGAGAAACGTTCGAATAAGGCGACGCATCGAATTCAACATAAAAAGGTGTATCTCTTGGTATTGATACCACTGCATTTCCGAAGCGATAACTTCGAAATAAAATAAGGCAATAGAGAAATTCTTCAAGCTGTGTGAGATTGTGTGTTGTACCGATGTCGAGATGCAATGCTCCGTTTTGAAGTTGGACATACTTATTTCGGAGACGTTCGGTTAATGTGTCTGCTCCAAAATCGGCCAAAATAGGAAATTTGATATGAAGTTTTCCTGAGTTTTTTATCATTCGTCGAATTAATGTTGATTTACCTAATCCAGTAATTCTCGACGTGACAAATGTACATTGATGAACCAGCCGTTGAATATATTTTTCCAACCTTTCTGCGCTCAATAATTGATCATCATGTAAAATATTCACAATCTGCATCGATCGAAGTGCATTAATTAGTTGTGAACGGTTAATTGATGAAATTGTAATTATACCTAATCGAAAATCTTGAAAAGGATTTTGATTGACTAGTTGTCGAATTAGAAGAGAAAATTGACTTTGAATAGTCTGAGTCAGAAGTTCAGGACGAATAAGTTGATGAATTGTATGTGAATAAAAGCAGCGATAGACAAACGCTCTTATCTCCATCCAAGTTGTTTTGTGTGAACAGTGGAACAAGTGATTGACGCGTATATCGGATTGTGTAAAATCGAATAAAGACAGTATTGCACGCAAAATACCGTCATCGGTAGTTTCAATAAGTAACACATTTTTTGTTGTTATTTTACTCTCTTGTCTCTTTGGTGTTAGGATACGATATTTTGAGAGTAGAAAACCAAGATTTGATAGACGAGTGTTCGGATCATGGCTTTTCAGGGGCAACTGTTGAGGAAAATTGTTAGGATCAATATCAATGAAATTGAGTAAATGATAGCCAATATGATCGAATTGTCCTCGATTTTCATACAGATAATCTTCGATATACCAAAATTGTTCACCGGAGAAATAAGTCAGGTCGATATGAATTGTGTACATTGTGCACAAGTATTTTTCCCATTCTATCATCAATGTCTGCAATACAGCAGAGGTTTCTTGCATTTCCTCATAATTTCCTTCGATACATTTAAAAGATTTCTGTGGTGCAAGAAAAACTGACACAGATGGATAACCCGCAATGTAAAGAGCTTCAAGACTTGTTAGTACTATTTCGATAATCCCAACAAACTCAACAAATGCGCGCAATTCTGTGACATCTTTCTTCTCATTATTAGTATTGGTCGAATATTCAAGAAGTAGTACTCGATCCCGTAATCGATTTAGATCCTCGAAGACCATATTTTTCACAAACTTCGCCACATCGGTTGCTACTGCCGGGAATATTTGTACTTTAATGTCGAATAAATTTTGATTACGTACAAATTCAAGAGAAGCTTCATGTAGAATGTCAGAGATATGACGCCGTTTGGATTGTTCTTTATTCGTCAATTCCAGATGAATACGTTTGATATTTGATAGGTAACAAGAACATGATTCTATACATAAGAA